TTTCTTTTCTTTTCTTTTTTCAATTTTTCTAATTTTTCGGGGAAAACCAAAAAGGCTTCAGGAAAAAAAAAAGAAAAAAACTGTTTTTTCCCTGAATTTTTCCAGTTTTTTTCCGGGCCTTCACATCTCTAATAGTGACCAGAACTGGACACAGTATTCCAAATGAGGCCGCACCATAGATCTATACAGAGGCTTTACAATAGCAGCCATTTTATTTCCAATCCCTTTCCTAATAGTCTCTAACACAGAGTTTCCCCTTTTCACCCCTGCAGCTCACTGGGTTGACACTTTCATTGAGTGTCATTTCCATTTCCACGACGACCCTGAGATCTTTTCCCCTCTCAGTCTCAGCAAGTTCAGACCCCACTAGCCTCTCCTTGAAGCTGGGATTTTTTGTCCCAGTGTGCATCACCTTACACTTACCAACAGTGAGCTTCATTTGCCACATTGTCACCAATGTTCCCTCTAAGCTGAGTTAGTGTGAGCTAGCTCACAGTTTTTTAGCCTCCAGCTCACACACTTTTGTCTTAGCTCAGGATGGCTCCAGAGCAAACTGATTTATGCAGGAGCCCAATCGCTCGCTCACAACTTTAGTGCCAGCAGCTCACAAAGTAGAATTTTTGTTCACAACACTCCACAGCTTAGAGGGAACATTGCTCCAGACCCCCTCTGGATGACAGCCAATGTTCCCTCTTAGCTGAGTTAGTGTGAGCTAGCTCACAGTTTTTTAGCCTCCAGCTCACACACTTTTGTCTTAGCTCAGGATGGCTCCAGAGCAAACTGATTTATGCAGGAGCCCAATCGCTCGCTCACAACTTTAGTGCCAGCAGCTCACAAAGTAGAATTTTTGCTCACCAGAGTGCGTGGCTTAGAGGGAACATTGATTGTCACCCACCCACCCAGCTTGTAGAGGTCCCCTTGGAGCTCTTCACAGCCAGTCTTGGTTTTTACCATCCTGAATAATTTGGTGTCATCTGCAAACCTGGCCACTACAGTACTCAGCCCTCATTCCAGATCACTGATGAATAAATTAAAGAGCACCAGCCCCAATACCGATCCTTGTGGGACCCCCACTGCTTACTTCCCTCCATTGTGAGAACTGTCCACTGATTCCTACTCTTTGCTTCCTGTCGTTTAACCATAAGAGAACCCGTCCTCTTATCCCACGACTGCTAAGTTTGCGCAGGAGTTTTAGGTGAGGTACATTGTCAAAAGCCTTTTGAAAGTCCACCTGTATAATGCCTGCCAGGTTACCATTGTCTACCTGCTTTTTAGATTTCTAATCCGGCTCTTTTATTTATGCACACGCGCACACACACATGTATATAAAACCATAAAAATAGTTTACAAATTTTAAAAATGTAAGTGGTGACATTAAAAACATACTCAATAATTCATGAAAACAGCACCCTAAATGCCTTCATTTACACTGAAAGAGAAAGCAGGGGCAAAAGTATCAAGAGCCAAAATGTCATTGGTTTAAATTATTTAAAATGCTTATATGCCCACCTTTTCTCCTGAACGTCTCAGGACCCAGAGGAAGGGCACAAGTGCTGTGGCCAGGCCTCCTGAAGGAGGTAGTCCCCTAAAGCTGAGTGATGGTATTCAGAGCAAGACCTCTGTTGGAGCGGGACAATATGGGGAATTTCACATTACCCAGTTTCACCCGGTTTCAAGCCGGTAATGATCCGTTTTGAAGTGAACCGGTACAGGGCTGCCATTTCACACAGGACTTTCCCCTACCGGAAAAGAGCCGGATCAGAAGCGGTTTGGCATTTCAGACTGCACCGCTTTGTTTTCCCGCCGTTTCCCACCCACGTGGGTGATCTTTTTTTTTTTAACGTTCGATTTATAGCGCTATAAAGCGAACGTTCAAAAAAAAAAAAAAAGCCGGAGATCGCCCGCGTGGGCGAAAAACGGCGTGAAAAAGCGCATCAGAATCGGGAGAGGAAACTGAGGACTACTTGGAAGCGGTTGACAGGTAAAATGCTTCAGCCCCGTTTCCTAAACAGGACAGAGGCATTTGTGTCTGAAATGACAAATATATTCCGGAAGGGAACCGGTTCTCAAACGGTTCTGTCTGAAATGACAGACTAGAAACCATTTGGGAACCGTTCCTCTTCCGGAATATATCGTCTGTCTGAAATTCCTCTGTCTTGGTCCAGGCCCCCGCCTGAAGGTGGAAAGTGCCATCAAACCACAGCTGATTCATGGTGACCCCTCAAGGGTTTTTCAAGGCAAGGGACCTTCAGACGTAGAATCATAGAGTTGGCAGGGACCTCCAGGGTCATCTAGTCCAACCCCCTGCACAATGCAGGAAATTCACAAACGCCTCCATCCGCCGCACTCCCAGTGACACCTGTTCCATGCCCAGAAGATGACAAAAACCCTCCAGGATCTCCAGGCAAACCGGCCTGGAGAAAAAAAATTGCTTCCTGACCCCAAAGTGGCAATCAGCATTTCCCTGGGCGTGTAAGAAAGGGCCACGTGAACTAAGCACTGACTTGGTTTGCCAGGGCCTGCCTCTGTGGAGCGACCCTGGACTTCCTTGCTGGTCTCCCATCCAAGTACTAAGCAGGCCCGACCCTGCTTAGCTTCTAAGATCTGACGAGATCGGGCTGGCCTGGGCCATCCAAGTCAGGGCCCCCAGAGGTTAGGCAATTTTATTTCCTCATCAATTTGGGAACTTGGCTCAGGACTGAGTTTCCTCTGGCTGCTTTGGGAGCGTGTGAATCTGTTCTTAGATGTGAGGAATACTGTCTCCTTAACTGGACCCTCCTCTTTCTGCAGAGCGTCTGCGTCGCTGTTTGGAAAGAGACAAATCTGGCTGAGGAAAATGGGAATGCTACAGGACAGATTGGAGTAGAATATACCATTCTGGAGGCTAACATTTCCCTGGCACGCTGACATTTGGACTTCGTGATGGAGAACGAGTGTGTGGAGGTGGAGGTGAACATGTCCGTAGGGGATGGGGCCTCCATAGTCCCACAGCAGGTGAAGGAGGAAGAGAACTCAGATGCCTTCAAGTTGTGTTCGCAGATGGAGGGAACAAAAGCCCCACAGATTCTACACGTAGGGAGTATCGGGGAGTTAGAGACGGCAGTCTCTCCTCATCTTATAAAAAAGGAGCCTGAGGAAGGGATCCAGCAGCATTGGGAGGCCCAGTGGCAGGAGTTCCTGAGTGCCCTACAGGCCCCTCACTCAGGATGGGAGGACGCGCAGATGTGTGAGGAGCCAACGCCGCCGTGGGAAGACACGAAGGCTTTCCTGGCCTCCTTTGAGCAGATTGCGTCAACGTGCCGCTGGCCTCGTGACAAGTGGGTGACCCTCCTTCTGCCGGCCCTCAGCAGAGAGGTCAGAGAGGCCTTCAGCACCCTTAGTGCCCAAGACAGAGAGGATTATGGGAAGATGAAGGCCGCCATCTTGCAAAGAGAGGCCGTCACGAGGGAGAGGCAGCGCCAGCACTTCAGGCAGTTCTGCTACCAGGAAGTGGAGGGGCCGAGAGCCGTTTATGGGCGACTCCGGGAACTTTGCTGTCAGTGGCTGAAAGCAGAAAAACACACAAAGGAGGAGATCGTGGAGCTGCTGATCCTGGAGCAGTTCCTGACCGTCCTTCCCCAGGAAATGCAGAGCTGGGTCCGGGAACGTGGTCCGGAGACCTGCATCCAGGCGGTGGCCCTGGCGGAAGATTTCCTCTTGAAGCAGAATGAGGCTATGAGGCCAAAAGAGCAGGTAAGAACATTCAGTGACAATATTTCCAAACAGGCCTATTCTTAGGACTTCACCATCAGTTTCCTCCTCTGCAATGCCCCCTCTAAGCTGTGGAGTCTTGTGAGCAAAAATTCTACTTTGGGAGCTACTGGCATTAAAGTTGTGAGCGAGCCATTTGGCTACTGCATAAATTAGTTTGCTCTGGAGCCCTCCTTCCTGAGCTGAGACAGAAATGTGTGAGCTGGAGGCTAAAAAACGGTGAGCTAGCTCACACTAACTCAGCTAAGAGGGAACGCTGCTCCTATGTATTTGTTGAATGGTGAGGGTCCAGTGGGGAACATATTGTCTGAGGGAACCCAATGTGTAAGGAGATTCATTTGCTACCATGGAGTTAGACATCTAGGTACGTCCAGTATGGGGTGATGGTGTCACCAATGAAGGATCAGTTAGGGACTCATCTGCTTGTAGTACTCTGCTTGCAGGTCCAATGGTCTGGATGGCATTACCAGGTCCGACTCAAGAAATATCTGGGGACTTTGGGGGTGGAGCAAGGATGTGACATCACTCTGGGAGAGGGGAGGGAAGAAGCACGATTGAACTCCAAAGCGAGCTCTAGCCATCACATTTAAAAGGACCGCTTTCCCTCCACTGGAAATAATGCAGGATGTGGGCACCTGGCCCAGTCTTTTTGAAACGTTGCTGGTTTTCTGAGGAGAGGCACCACATGCTATGCTGAAAATTTGGTGCCTCTACCTAAAAAAACAGTCCCCCCCAGATACCCATGGGTCGATTCTCTATTATACCCTAGGGGACTGGTCACCATAGGATATAATGGAGTGCTCACCTGACATTTCCCTCTCCCCCACCCCCCGCTTTCTGATAACCCTGAATCAGGAGGAGGGCCTCCAAACGAGGGGATCCCCTGCCCCAAACTGGGGATTGGCATTTAATGGGCTTTTCACGGCTGTTTCAGATGCCAGAACCTTTGCCTGAAGCAGCTGTCCTTCCTTCGGAGGGGAACAAGATTCCACCACCAGAGACTTGGAACCTCGTTGTGGAAGTCAAGCAGGAGTGGGAAGGAGAGGAATGGCTGCTGGGTAAGAACGCGCTGAACACAGGTTACAGCCTTGTGCTGAATCAGACCCGTCTGGTCTGCCCAGGTCAGTGCTGTCCACTGAGACGGGCAGCTGGTCTCCAGGGTCTCAGGTTTTTCACCTCACCTACCACCTGACCCTTTTATCTGGAGATGCCGAGGGATTGAAACTGGGACCTTCTGCATGCCAAGCAGAGGCTCCACCACTGTCAAGCTCGCTCGCCTCCTTCCCCGCTGCCCTGCCCCTGGCCGTGGTGCCTCGGTGTCCCCTTCAGGCGTGGCGGCCCTGGGAGCGAGGTCGGGGTTAAGGGAAGTGTGTCAACGATGCCTCAGCGTGACAGGGGACAGGGTTTAGCGTCACCCTGGTGGTCCCTCTGTTGGCAGGGTACATGGCTTTGGACCAGCTGGGTCCCAAGAGGCGTGTCCTTAGCTGAGCGTGTTCTCTCTCTCTCTCCCCACCGCACCAATCGCTGCGCTCCTTAGCCAGTCCGTGCTGCTCCTCTTCGACCCCTCGGTGTCTCCTCCTTTTATTCCCCGTTCCCATTCCCAGCACCACCCCTCGACCCCGCCGGCTCTCCTGCCTTCCTGACCCCGCCCTCCTTCAAGACACTCACAGGGTGTCTGTTGTGGGGAGAGGAAGGGAAGGTGATTGTAAGCTGCTCCTCCACATGAAGGCAGCTGGGTGACCTTGGGTCAGTCACAGTTATCTCAGAGCTGTTCTCTCTCGAGAGCAGTTTCTGTCAGAGGTCTCTCAGCCCCACCTACCTCACAGGGTGTCTGTTGTGGGGAGAGGAAGGGAAGGAGATTGTAAGCTGCTCCGAGACTCCTTTGGGTAGTGAAGGGTGGGGTACAAAAACCAACGTCTTCTCCTCCTCCTCCTCCTCCTCCTCCTCTTTAGACTCCTGTGTCTGAAGCAAACATGCATGAGGTAGATATGGTTACTCAGAGAAAAAAACATGTCCGTAGGCATTCTCAAGCATTCACATCTTTCTCCTCATCCTGTAGAACTTCTCATTCTTTAATGTCTTCAACTGTGTGTTTGGAAAGTTACCCAGAGAAGGACACATGGCTGTGTTTCTTTTCCGCAGGCGACGGGCAAGTGGGCACGATCCAAGTGGACAATATCGATCCGAGTGGTCCCCACCAAGGCGCGCCAGAGGCGTCACCAGGAAGTGGCAATGCATTCCAGCACTGTGAAGAAGAGACAAGAGTTGGGAGTAAGACAGCCTCATGTGGGAAGCAGAGAGCCAAACCCGGGAAGAAAACAGATGAACCTGTCACTAAAGGCGATTGGGAAGAAACCAAGCTTGTCAAAAATATCCATCACTGTGCCTGTGGGGAGAGTTTCGGAAGTAGCCTAGGTCTTCAAATGCACGAGAGAACACACTCTGGAGAGACACAGGACAAGTATTCAGAAAGTAGGAAAAGGTCCAGTGGTGCCGGTGAACTCCGGAGCCCTGAACGAACTCGCGCCGGAGAAAAACCGTTTCAGTGTTCGATGTGTCAGAAGAGTTTTGCGAGTGGTTCCAACCTTATCGCTCACGAGAGAATTCACACAGGAGAGAAACCTTTCAAGTGTTTAAAATGTGGGAAGATTTTCCGTCAAAAGGGAACCCTTTCGACGCATGAAAAGATTCACATAGGGGAGAAGCCATATAAGTGTTCCCAGTGTGGGAAGAGTTTCCACCAGAAGGGAAACCTTACGACACACGAAAAGATTCACGTCGAGGCGAAACCATTCCAGTGCTCTATGTGTCAGAAGAGTTTTGCGAGCGGCTCCAACCTGATTGCGCACGAAAGGATTCACACAGGAGAGAAACCCTACACATGCTCGAAATGTGGGAAGAACTTCCGTCAGAAGGGGACCCTCTCCACACATGAAAAAATCCACATTGGGGACAAACCGTACAAGTGTTCCCAGTGTGGGAAAGGCTTCCGTAGCTCTACTGAGCTCACTGTCCACGAAAGGATCCATACTGGAGAGAAACCATACAAATGCTCAGTGTGTCAGAAAAGCTTCAGCGACGGCTCCAATCTCATTACGCACCAGAGGATTCACACGGGGAAGAAACCATATAAGTGTGCCCTGTGTGGGAAATGTTTCTGCCAGAGGTCGGGCCTCATGACGCACGAGCGTGTTCACACGGGACAGAAAAGGCGCTCGGCGGGTCAAAAGGGTGCCCCTGTTGGCGCCAGCGTTGTGCCTCAGAATACAAACCCTGGAGGGGACTCAAATACAAGCGCTGATGGTGGGGAAGCTTCTGTCAGCGCTCAGGATGCCGGGCACTTTAAAAGCGATGTATCATATGAACTAGAAGAGCAGCCATTTGCAGATGTCGGACAGGGCTCGCTTGAGGTCGTTGCTGTCTGTCAGTTGAGGGAATCTAAAATGGAGGAAAGCCCACCCTGCTGTTGACTTCCCCTGGAAGTCTTGGATCAGTTTCCTGAAATGGTCTTTTATCTATTTTCCCACTTGCTTAGTTGAAGAATGAGATACAAATCAGCCCCCACTTTGGTGGGAGGCCTCCCACCAGCAGCCCCAGTTGCCTGCCAGTTTGGTGTAGTGATTAAGAACATGGACTCTAATCTGGGAGAACTGGGTTTGATTCCCCACTCTTCTACATGCAGCTGCTGGTGTGACCTTGGGTCAGTCACAGTTCTCTCAGAGCTGTTCTCTCACGAGCAGTTCTCTCAAGAGCTCTCTCAGCCCCACCTACCTCGCAATGTTCCCTCTAAGCTGAGTTAGTGTGAGCTAGCTCACAGTTTTTTAGCCTCCAGCTCACACATTTTTGTCTTAGCTCAGGAAGGAGGGCTCCAGAGCAAACTAATTTATGCAGTGGCCAAATTACTCTCTCAGAACTTTAATGCCAGTAGCTCACAAAGTAGAATTTTTGCTCACAAGACTCCACAGCTTAGAGGGAACATTGCTCACAGGATGTCTGTTGTGGGGGAGGGGAAGGGAAAGGAGATTGTAAGTCGCTCTGAGACTCCTTCAGGTAGTGAAGGGTGGGGTATAAATCCAATCTCTTTTCTTCTTTTTCTCCTCCTCCTCTCCGAACAGTAGTGGAAGGGGGGGGGGAGATGATGTCAACTGTTTCACTACGTCACTTCCAGGAGAAACCCAGAAGTGAAATAGGGTAGCTCCGCAATTCTTAGAGATATCTATGTCACTTCTGGTTCCCCCCCCCCCAGAACTGACAAAACAATGTAGCCAAGGTCATGCTCTCCCCACCCCGTGTCCCCACCTCCAACCTTAGATGGGTCTGGCAATCCTAGACAGAAACTGCGACGTTAAAATGAAATGGTCTTCTGAGAAAAGAGGAAAACTAAGAGTACGCACAAATGATAAATACGCATTTTCCAAAGAAGTAATTAAGATTCAGATGAGAACGTATGATCTGCATTAAAACTTAACAGCTAACTTTAAAGCAGGCATGCAGTCAGAAATAAGGGCTTAAGTGCTCTGGGAAGGGTAGACATCCATGTTCTAGGGCTGCCAACCTGCAGGTGGTGGCTGTTACAACTGATCTCCAGGTGATAGAGATCAGTTCACCTGGAAATAATGGCCACTTTGGAAGGCAGACTCTATGGCATTGAAGTCCCTCCCCAAACTCCACCCTCCTCAGGCTCCACCCCCACGATCGCTAGGTATTTCCCAACCCGGAGCTGTCAGCCCTCATTTAGACTTCTGCCGTGGGTTGTATGCGGAGATGCTTGTGAAGAGCGTTCAGAAACTACAGTGGGTCCAGAATAGAACCACCAGGTGACTGACTGGGAGCAGCAAATCCAGTCACGTCTCACCACTGCTTTTAAGGTCTGCCCTGGGAACAAAAGCATTGTGTCTTTTTTAAACTTGCAAAAGCCCAGACTGGAACCACAGGATCTCAGAAAAGACTGTCTGCTCCTACATATGAATCTGCCCCCTTGTTATGTGCATTCTGGAAGTCCTGGATGTTCCTACCTTGGAGAGCGAGGTGGGTCGCTACTAGGGGGGGAAGGCGTTTTCTGGGGTGGAAGGCGTTTTCTGGGGTGGCACCAGGGCTATTTTTGGGCAGGAACGCACAGGAACGGAGTTCCGGCTGGCTCCTCCTAAATTGGCCACGCCCAGCAGGAACTCATTAGTATAATAGGCCACACCCAACAGCAGAAAATCATTAGGATTGACTACATTAGGGAGGTGTGGCCTAACATGCAAAGGAGTTCCTGCTACAAAAAAGGCCCTGGGCTTTGGCAACAAACAAGGTAAACAGAATAAGAAGCAAAAGGTGGGTGTGGCTGGATGACCACACTTCTGGTAACATGGGGGTGCGGCCTAATGTGCTAATGAGCTGTGCTGTCAGGGGTGTGGCCTAATATGCTAATGAGTTCCTTCTGGGCTTTTTCTACAAAAAGAGCCCTGGCGTGGCACCAACACCATACCATCCATATTCCCCAGGCCGTTGCCTTACAGTGGCTGGTTGGGAAAAAAACTTTTCTCAGTTGTGCGAGCCTTTGACAGCACTTCACGTTGATGGTGCTTTACTTACGTTTGTGTTTTTATTTACTGTTACATCTGCTGCTGTTTCATTTTGCTTGCTGTTTGATTCTAGTGCTTTTGTATGTGTTGTGTGTGTTTGTGTAGCTGGAAGTAGCCTTGGGGACTAGTTTTGGAGGAAAGATGGGAGGCAAAGAAATTATATATAAAAAAAGATGGAGGAAGACGTTCCATAGGACATTTATGACTCATGATTAGACAGTGTCATTGTAGGAGCATGGGTGCTATGCAGTGTCCGTGGGTGTCATGGTGACCACCTACACCTTTTCCGGTGCCCACCAGATGTTTTTAGGAAGTGGGTGGGGCCAGGTAGGTCTTTTGCCCAGCAAGGCTTCCGGTTGACTTTTGGAGATTTGATTGGCTGTAGATTTGATCTATACCAGAGGTGTCAAACATGCGGCCCAGGGGCCGATCAGGCCCCCGGAGGGCTTCTACCAGGCCCACAGTGGAACTGGCTGCCGTCTGCTTCTTCTTCCACTTCTGCTGCTGCTGCATCACCGTAGGTTTGCAGCTTACAGATACACACCTGAACACCACACTCAAGATTGCAACAGCACAGACATTTTGAGGCAATCATTCAGAGCAAGAGGTGCTAATGTTTTAAGCATGTTTTTATTTTAAGTAAAAAAAAACCTTTGTGTTTGTGTCCTTTTATAAAGTTTATATCTCCGTTACCTGGCATTACATTTTATGACACACATGGCCTGGCCCAATAAGGTCTCATTTATGTCAGATCTGGCCCTCATAACAAATGAGTTCGACACCCCTGATCTATACTGTGTGATTGAAGTTAAGCTGTGGCAGCCATTTTGTAGCTGGCTCCGCCTCCTGCAGCAGTCATTTTGTGCCAGCCATTTTTTTTTTTTTTGCTGTGCCTACCATGCTGTGTTAGAATTTCAAACATGCCGACAGGCTCAAAAAGGTTGGAGACTCCTGGTCCAGCAGAATGTGTGGTCAGAACTCTCCACAAATCAGGAGCATTTCAGAACTCTTTATGGGTAAATGCCTATAATGAAGCTTCAATTTGTCTGTGTTGGTCTCCAGAAGAAGGAAACAGGTTCCCTGCCAGCAGCTGCTAACACATTCTGTAACAGCTGGGAAATGTTCACAATATTAGCTGACTGAATTTCTGGCAAGGATGTGAAATACCAAATATACAAGAGGATATTTATTGGGATTGCCAACTCCGACTTGAGAAATTCTTGGGACATTTGGGCACGGCTGTATCTGTGGAATGCAGAATTTGGGGAGAGAAGGGAGCTCAATGGGTATGTGATATCACTCTAGGACTTTCATTTCTCCTAGACTTTATGGTCTAATCTCCAAAACTGCCAATTCCTTCTGCGGAACTGATCTCTGTAGTCTGGAGATCAGCTATAACTAGAGATGTAAAATTTCTGGAAATTTTGAAGCTCGGAAAAAAACCCATTTTTTCCAGGAAAATTTTTCGGAAAAATTGAAAAAAATGCTACATTAGCACTTCTTTTGTCTTTTCTAGATTGAAAGTCATTCTGTTACTTTAGGAACATAAACTATGACTATGGACATTTTTACTTGGCATGAAATTATCACAACTAGCATATTTAAAATATAGTGTATCCAAACAGTTATTACAAACAGAATACCCGCCCACATGCAAAAACAAAACAAACCTTTTTCTTTTCTCGTGACAATAGCACCTCCTAAAGGAAGAAATGCATCTTGTTCTAGCATTGGAGAGTTCAGTTTTTAACCTGGGACTTGCTTGTCAGTGCACAGAAATTAGATCAATCTGATACCATATATATATATTTTAGAAATGATTTGGAAAATGTTTGAACACCTTGTTTTAAAATATTTTATTCATCATGTTAAAATAAAACGTTTTATAATCAATTTTTTTTCTTTTATTTTTTCAATTTTTCCAATTTTTCGGAAAAAAACAAAAAAGGCTTCGGGGAAAAAACTGGGGTTTTTTCCGAATTTTCCCGTTTTTTTCCCGGGCCTTCACATCTCTAGCTATAACTCCGAGGAAATTCCAGGTCACACCTGGATGTTGTAGGGCTGCCCCACTCAAAGGGCCCCCGACCCACCGGTCCTGATCCGGCTGGCGGGGGGAACCCCACCCCCAAAGTGGCCAGATCGGGCTGACGTGCCCGGCGTGATGCTCTAGCAATCACCCTGAAAACTCTATGGTACAGCGTCACCTGGCAACATGCCCAGTGTGATGACGTCACTTCTAGGTGATGTTATTGTGGCACACATGCGCTATGCGTGCGCACAAATGTCCCAGACTGGGACTGCCACTCCAGCCAGTAAGTCACTTGGCAACCCTAGGATGTTGGCAACCCTAGTACTTATGAAAAAACTCTTCGAATTGTTTATTTTTTTAGATGGGAGGGGTAACAAAGGTAAATGATTTTTTTTTATGGGTTTGAGCTTCCCCTTTGTTCCCTTCTCAGCTAATTCTGTTCTCCACATTTCGTGTCTCCTGGAGCATGCTCAGTCTTTATTATTTTTCTTCTGGTTAATTTACAAAGTTGTATTTGCCAGAATATCTGTGTCTTTGGAGCCCCCTAACTTTGTAAAAAACAACAAC